GATGGACTAATAATATACAAGTGCCAATACATCCATTTTATATATACTGTACTGTATGTAAACACTATAACCAGTACTTTAACTTACTTATCCCGTAAGGCACTCCTTCAATATAAACTCATTCCTCCAGCAGCAGCCCTGTGCCGCTGGGGACGTTCAGTACGCCGAACTCATGCTGGGGGGCGCCACACCAAGCCCCCAGCACCACGACATCAAAAGAGGACCTCCAGACCCCCAGAGAACTGCCACGACCAATCCTCAACACCACGAACCCCAGAGAGTAATCTACGCTACCCTGGACCATAAGAGGAGTCATTCTCACTATCCTCCGCCACACCAACACCCCGCCTACCCACAGCCCGTCGCTACCACCAACACCACGCCCACACATGCCCTCCATCTCCAGTCTACGCCCACGAACAGCGGCGGGCACCCACAAGGAACCCAGCACCCACCCTGGACCCCTTCTACAGCGTCTATAGGGCGCCGCCACTCCCTCAGACGTGACCCCCACACTGGAGACCCTGAGACTGTGGTGCCCTTGATCCCCAACCAGAAGGAGAGCTCCGTATAAGGTGGGTCAGGTGTGTAGTGGGTTCAATCTGTGGTAGGTCAGGTGTGGGGTGGGTCAGGTGTGTAGTGGGTTCAATCTGTGGTGGGTCAGGTGTGTAGTGGGTTCAATCTGTGGTAGGTCAGGTGTGGGGTGGGTCAGGTGTGTAGTGGGTTCAATCTGTGGTGGGTCAGGTGTGTAGTGGGTTCAATCTGTGGCGGGTCAGGTGTGTAGTGGGTTCAATCTGTAGTGGGTCGGTTGTGTGGTGGGTCAGGTGTGTAGTGGATTGAATGTGTGGTGGGTCAGGTGTACAGTGGTAGTAGTAGTGTGTGTGTCTGTCTGTCTGTCTTATGTGTGTGTGTGTGTGTGTGTCTAATAATAATAATAATAATAATAATAATAATAAACCACTGTTAGCCCCAGAGATAAATCCCTGAGTTTCCAGACCCTGCCGCGTGGAGGCCAGTGGTGAGAGGGTCCTTTTTTTTTTTTTTTTAATTGTGTGTGGTGAAGGTGGGTGTGTGGTGAAGGTGGGTGCGTGTGGTGAAGGTGGGTGCGTGTGGGGGGTAATCATTGGGGGAAGCTGTTCACCAGGCTAAGGAGGCTACGTACCCCCTCCTCCACCCGGTCAGCCAGGCCTGTGATGGTTATTTGATTACTTTTCTCAGTTTTTTTAGGGACTTTTATGTGAATTTTGAAAGTTTGAGTAAAGTACCGAATATTTTGGCCCTGAAGACCAATAATCTTTCCGTGTAGGGCCTTAGGGATGTAGATAATTTGGGTTACAGGAGTGTTGTTGACCTGACGCCGCTCCTCTTGGTCAATCAAAGACCGTATGTGGAGGACGGCTTCCTTGACTTTAGTCTTATTTTTCCCTTCGACCACGATGGGCTCATCCTTTGACCCCTTGCGAGGGATACGCACCCGGATGTTGTATTTGTCTTGTATCTCCTTCACGGTGGAGCCTCCTGGGCCAACCACTGCACCAAAGAGGCAGTTAGCTGCCTTAACCGTCTCCGAGACCGTCTCCGAGACCGTCTCCGAGACCCATTGTTCCCTCATACGGGACACCCATGGAGCTACAGGGCGACTCTTCTGGTCGACCTTGGTAACTGTCCGACGATCCCGTCGTTCACCTGAGTTACTTTTGAAACTTGAGGTCATATTTGATTATACCAATAACAGCGTAGGACCAGACCACAAGACTCAGATTTGAGGTGTAAGAAAATAATGTAGTAAGAGGCTGTAATACTGAACCTGTTATAGTGAACATGTAGCGAGTTATAGTGAACCTGTAGTGAACCTGTTATAGTGAACATGTAGCGAGTTACAGTGAACCTGTAGTGAACATGTACAGTAGCTAGCTACAGTGAATATGAATTTATAGTGAACCTATTATAGTGAACATGTAGCGAGTTACAGTGAACCTGTAATGAACATGTTCAGTAGCTAGTTACAGTGAATATGAATTTATAGTGAACCTATTATAGTGAACATGTAATTATAGTGAACCTGTTATAGTAAACATGTAGCAAGTTACAGATAACATGTAGTTTTAGTGAACATGTAACACGTTAAAGTGAACATGTTCTGTAGTCGTAGTGAACCTGTTGATTTAGTGAACATGTTGATAGAGTGAACCTGTCATTAGTGTCATAGTGAACATGTTGTTAGAGTGGGTTGAATTTGTGGTGGTCAGGTGAGCCAGGATCCTCCACACACACACACACACACACACACACACACACACACTCAGCCTTGATAGACTGATTGAATAACTGAGTGAAGGCTTTTAACATACGCAGGTGATAATTGTTTTTACTAATTAGGTCCTATACTTATATTCCTTCAGTTTTAATACTATATATTGACACCAAAAGGCCTTAACGTGATAATATTCATATCATGTTGTTAACCTTTGTATGACACCAAATATAAATATGTCTAATGTAGCGGTATAAGACATGACATACAGTATAGGACTCTAAAATTCTGATGACCTTTTGGTTCCCGTGCGACTCTTAGGGATGTGTGTGTGGGGGGGAGGGAGAGCCGTAATTGAATATCCTAATTAATTCAGAGATAATTTGCTTTAATTCATTGTGTTTGTTAATTGTCCATTTTCCGTGTGTGTGTTTTTGTGTGTTTAATCTCACCGGTAAGAAAAGTTAGTTTCTCTTATAAAGATTTTTAGAATTTTTTTTTTATAATCTCAACCGATGCTTTTGATTTCTTATTCAAAAACTTTAAAGTCTAGTGGTCAGGATTATTTTTAATTACTGTGAAAGCTGTGTTAGTTGATTCTATTCCAATTATTCCTTTTGAGTAGTTTTCGCCACATTTGTCTTTGATCCAGAAGAACTTAGCTAGGGAACGTTTCAGTTAATTTATAGGTGTTTTTTTTTCAGTCGTAATTCATTCTCTTTTGTTTCGTCGAACCACTTTTACAAATTATAATAACATTGCCTTTAATGAATCGTGTTTTTGACATCTGTAACCTAGTGAAAGGTAGTTTATGTTGTATGTATTGTCTGTAACTAACCGTGCATATGTGTCTGTCTGTCTGTCTGTCTGTCTGTGCACGTGTATGTATACAGAAAGACAGACAAGAGGCCTGTAAATCTCAATAACATTCTCCCCAACAGGTCTCAGAGGCTGGTACTTGATCTCTGTCAAGCGGTCGGTAGCGAGGATCCTGGGAGAGAAACATCGTACAGTACACCATAATTACCAAGTAAATCTTCCAGTGTTGGTGCGGTCACTACACGCCAAAAACCTGACTTGTGGTGGTGGTGTTTATATTGTGCAAGTGATCTGGTGTTTGATGGAAAATAATACTGAAACTCGAGACAGAAATGTAATTGAAAACATCCAATAAATTACATGTCTTGGAAAGATCACAGTAAAACTTCTCTATTCACTTGTGGTCATTACACTTAACTTACATCACTCACACTTAAACAATATGTCAGTGGAGGTCGAAACTTCTGCCATGTAAAGTGGGTTTGATCTTTCTAATTCGATGTTTCGTTAAGTCCACACTGCTGTATAGACATGGGTGGTGACAGTGAAACAATGGTCTTTTATTCCCGCTGTTAGGTTGTCGGACTCCAGTGAATCTCTGAGTGACTGGAGAGGACATTCGTGGGCGATAACAGTGAAGTTGAGACTCTTGTAAACTGTCAGCAATGGATACTTGTTATATGTTGTGCTCAGGTAGTTGTAAGGCGTTAAATTAAACACTGGAGGGGAATATTCTTTGTTGATATGTTGAAGGGGGGCGGGGGGATGGCGGGACTAGGCTGTGGTAGTGTGTGGTCGAGAAGAGGAGCCTTCTAGAATGTTGTCTTCACATACTCTAATGCCTTCCTACGACACAAGGGTATAGTTGTCCTCTTGACGTTTATATACCATGAAGAAAACTATATTTTTAATTTTCATCTTTAGGGCTGCAGTTAGTCCCTTTTGACATACTAGTTTTTAAGATTTTAATAACTTCGTCAAATATATTATTTATGCCATTTTGTCGTGGGAAGGCAGTCTGATCCGAATTCACAATCAGCTGAAAACTGTGTTCAATCTCTCCAGATTCTTAAGAGATTCGTCCTTGATTTTTTCTTTACCTTAACTGACAACGTGAGAAGGTATCAATCTGGGTCCAAAATAGTGTTGTCATTGTATTGAGGCTGCATAATACGAGGCTGTATTGTGACTCACCAGTTAAAGGGGAAAATGAATGGTCCAATCACTGGGAATGAGAGTCCCAGGTATGTCTAATATGTACAATTTATTTGCAGTTCCTAAACATATGTATTCGCATTTTATTTCAGCGTATCAGTTTGCAAGTTTTGTTTTAAGATTTTGGTTTATTTCACCAAAACCTATTTTCATCAGTAATTAACCTGGTCTGTGTACAGGAGTGTTCAGTATTTTACACACCATTCACATTGTACAGGAGGCCAGAGTCTGGCTCTCTGGGGCCTGAACATAATATCAATTAATGTTCAGCCTACATTTCCAGGGACTGTTTACACGTGTTGATTCAGGCGCGTCATTACATATAAACACTGGCGAGTCATTCCCTGGAGCTTCTGGCAATGATTGCCCAACGTTGTAAGATCTGACCTGTGGAAACGTGTTGCGCCCCCAGGCTTATAGGCCCCGCTGCTGGACACTTAATTAAATTTTTTTTTATTTATCATTAATTTATCTTCTTTTTTTTTTGCTCTCTAATGGTAACTATTCTTGGGATGTTGCTCTTTTTCTATTTGCTAATTTCCAATATGTTTTATCATGTTACCATTAACAAAGTACATATTTTATAATAATGTAATGAAAATAAGTTAAATTGAACACATTTGATATATATATATATATATATATATATATATATATATATATATATATATATATATATATATATATATATATATATATATATATATATATATATATATATATATACCTGCCATGAAATATACGTCTGATAATTCATTTTAGAATTATCCTACCACAAAACCTGCATTTATTTTATTAAACCAACCTAAGCATGGACACATCCTCCTTATGAGGATAATTGTTTATAATATATAACTTCACCACAACATCTACAGCAACACCAGTAGCTTCTCCTGACGCGGTATAGCAGGTCTTAGCCCGCACTACCTCTTGATCACCTACACCCGCCCACCAGCAGAGCTTCCTGGGGTGACTCGTCCCGACATACCCCGACCAAACCTAACATTACCTTATGTAGTTTAACCTAACAACTCAGCCCAACTTCATTTATCGTGCCCTACCCGAATCTAACCTAACAATACCTTAAACTAACAATAACCCAAACTAACAATAAACTAACTGTTATGCTATGTTACGTTAGGTTCTAATATAACATAACATAACAATAACCTAATCTAACCCAATCTAACCTACCTTAACTCTATATTGATCCAGACCCCAGTCCTGTTCCTAAGAAGAGAGCGTTGTGTGTGTGGGAGGGGCGAGTCAGATCTAGGTTGTGGGGGACGAGAAAAAGAAATATTTTTCTCTTGAGGAGTTCCCCCTCTGATTACTGATGTCAGGACCAATTTCTGGCGGTCGAGGACTTTAATACCGGCTAATCAGTAACTAACTAACTGCAGCCTCTGATTAGCGAATTCATGACCAATTACTGATCAGTCAAGAGCTGTCCAGTCAGCAAATCACCATTCTAGGTTCTCGTATTGCTTAGCAGTTGACTAACCTAGAAATCTTCGGTGAACCAATCGGCTTCCGTCGCTGATTGACTGAAGAACTCAAAACTAGTCGCTGATTGGTTAAGAGCTCTCGGGATCAGCCAATTCGATTTACACAAATAAGACGAGGGTCCTTCAGCCCAGCCAATTACAGAGTGACATTATCTCGGTGACTTGTGTATCCTGGCTCACATACATGAACAAATATTAATATATCGAAACTGAGATATAGATGAATATTTTCTAGTCAGTGTGGTGAAGGATGTTAACTTAATGTAAGAAAACAGCGTTCAGTGCGACACAACTGTCTCGTGTCGTCGTGTTTTTGACAAAGATTTTGATCCAGTTCTCCAGCCTCTTATTTCAGTAGTAAAATTCATTTCCCCAAAAGTTCCGTTACGGTTCTCTCTCAATATCGTCGCCAAAATAAAATACTTAAGTAAGTGTTCAGTCCCAGAGGAGGACTTTCTTGTGTCTTCCGTGAAGACTTTTTTCCTTCACTCATTCACTCTTCCTCTGTATTAACTTATAATTTTACATCAAATCTTCTCTTATCGAGTGTTTTGTATCTCCTCAAGACTCATGTTAGCCATAATTTGGATTCATGTTTCTTAAACTGTATGGACTTTGTTTTCTGAGTCAGAGAGTAAGTTAATATAAGAAACTAACTGGAGACACGAGCATGATGGTGGTGAGGGAGGGAGTTGATTGGAGGGGAGTGAGTCGACTGGTTACAGTGATCACAACACGAGAGCTCACTGTACCCTTAACTCACACAGCCGGGGGAAGACGGCTTGTTTCGTTTGATCACGTCACCACTGTGTCTCTGAGATCATCAGACTGTTCAACGTTTGTCTTTGACGTTAATTTGTACAGTATTGAAAGCGAGTCATTAGGTAGTACTGTACAGTAAGTGGCGCCTCCCACCGGTACCAGAGACCTAAGTCTGTTTCAGATGGACAGATCAAATAGACAGACAAATGGACAGACCAAATAGAGAAACAGATAGACAGGAAACTGGTGGGCAGACCAAATAGACAGACAGATAGACAGGCTAAATACACAAATTAACAAAGGGTAACCACCACTGTTTATATTTCCTACGAACATTTGGTTTACAAACAGACCGTGCCTAACACGTAACGGTACTAAAGGCTTGACTGTGTACAAAGCTCACAGCACTTGAGGGATATGTGTTTGAGCTGAGGTCTCTGGAGGGCTGTAAACACGTCAGTCTGGTGTGTTAGAGTTGACTTTTTAATGACAAAACAGACACCGCCAGGCACTTCTTTACCCGTATTGCTTTTATCAAGTTAAAATCTATAATAGTCTCTCTCTCTCTCTCTCTCATAACAAGCAACAATCCCCCCCGGACCATAACATCAGCCCGCCACTTTCCTCTTAAGTAATATGATGGTCGACTGAGACATAATAAAGGACTGAGACACCATTTTGGGGAACATAAATGTCTCGGATACATTACATGAGGACGTTCTACTCATGACTACAATGGCTTAAAATTTGTATAAGGTGTCTCAAAGGTCCGTACTCCTCAACAGAATTCACAATTTACATTTATTTCATCAAAAGTTCAAATTGCATGAGATTGAGCTGACATTCTTATATTAGTTCTTGCTTGTAATTTTCGCGCCTGGATGTTTCACAGTTTCCCGCCTTTATTTTAATGCACTTTTTTTTCCGGTTTCCTTCGGTTCGTCGATATAAAAGTACTATGGACATTTGGGACACAATGTACTGTATATTTTGAAACTAAATTTATTGTGTGGAGGTAATAATAGTTTTTAATTTAATTTTTTTTTTATAAATTACATTGTTTGAGAAAAGTTATTTATGTTGTTCTTGTCTATGATTGTATCTATATAAACTGGATATAAGTGTGTCTGTGTAGAAGTTTTGTAAAGAGTTCGTAAGAAGATTTTTTTTAACTGCATGTGGACGTAACTAACTCACGTGCTATTCCTGATGAAAGTGAATCTACCAAAAATCACGTTAACGACTTACGGCCGACTCATTAAGTGTTCTACCGCTTGAAACTTCCTTCTGTACATAGAGTATAAATCATTCATGAGAACGTAGTGTTATTGGACCATCTTCTCTGTCAAGGCTTCCTCCCGGGTCACTCCCTGGCTGAAGCTTCTCTCTTCTCTCCCACTGAACGATAAATTTTGTACATCTGTATTTTGCATAATAAACAATTGTCTTCTGAAACGACTCTTTCTGTTTTCCCAGTTATTCAGCATTGTTGGTGATTTTGGGGTGTTTTTGTGTTATTCTTAAAATACTTAAACTCCTTAAATTCTAATTCTGAGAATTTTTTTTAGTTAGGTCCATATATTCTTGAGCCACTAACCTTGCCGTTTCGACCGTTTCTGGCCAAAGTCTCGATTTCTGGGATTTTCTGCTTCAAAATTTTAGTATAGGTACTTCTGGGTTTGCTGGAGAGACTGTGTACGTATGAGAAAGACAAGAAAATGTGAAAACGTAACAAAGACAGAGAGAGGGAGAGACACAAAGAAATAGAGTAGAATACAGTACACAAAACAGTGAAAGAAGAAAGAGACAGAGAATTTTTTCCCGGACATCTTCTGGACCGGGGAAGATGAAATTACAAAATATGTGTGTGTTTATATCTGTGAGAAACTGATAAAAATAAATCCAATCTCACTGATGGATGCTCGATTGAACAGACACCAAAAACTGTTCCTTGCTGATGACTCGTACGAAATTGATATAGCGGAAATGAAATGGCTCTTGGATGAAGAATTGTGCAATTTTGTCTTCAATTAAAATGTCAATTGCTTGGTGGGAAGATACAGTTGATTCACGGCTTAAATATGGTTAACAACGGTTAATTCAACTTGGTCAACGAAAGGATCACTTTTGCTAAACCTGACGAATCATCGTAGTAGTACTGGGCCAGAGGTTGTTAGCAATGAAGGTAGGGAATTGCCATGAGACGAACATCGCTGGAATCCAAAGAATCGTTCATGAGGTGTAGTATTTGTACAACCCTACTGGCACAAAACACTACTGACGCACAACCCTACTGGCGCACTGGGGGTGCCTCCAACCCTGGGAGGGCCCCTTGGAGATTCGCTGCCCCTGTGAAGGCCCCCTGGGGGTGCAGCCGCGTCTGGGAGGATCCCTGCGGGCCCCGCCGTTCTTGAGAGGACCCTGGGGGTGCTATCAGATCTTAACAGCCTTCATCCATCTCTATACTGATGCTAGACATCGTCCTGGCATACAACGACCACCCGTGGTCTATTCAGGCACCTGTTAAACAGAGGAGTCGGGGCTTGAGAATCAGGACAGAGTCAATTGACACGAATGTCATAAAATACGTCTTGCAAGCTGATGGCGCATTAACACTCTACTAAAGACATCAAAGTTACGTTACTTGAAATTTGATGGGATTAACTACAGTAATTAGTACGTCCAGAAGAATATAAAAACACCAATCACCTCAGAAACCAATAGTTGGCAAGTACAGTAATAAGCATTGAGAAAAATGTAACTAAAATCTTCCAAACGTCATTACCGCTAATTACTCCGCAATTGAACTGACAAGCATAAATTTGGGATTGGCATACTCAGGAGTACTTATACTGAGATTTTGAACAAAATAACATATATCGCGATATTTTCAGCTTTGAAAATACTTCCAATGGGGGACCCTTACTCGTATTTTCACCCAAATATGATTTTCTCTCTGACTTGAAATTTGGTCGGATTGACTACAGTATTTAAGTACATCCAGAAGAATATAGAAACACCAACCAATCACCTCGGAAACCAATAGTTGGCAAATACAGTAATTAGCAATTTGAAAAATGTCATTAAAATCTTCCATGCGTCATTAGGACCACTAATTACTCAGCAATCAATCTGGCTCGCATAGATTCGGAATCGGCATACTCAGGAATACCTGTGTGGATCATGCCCACATCTGTCCTTTTGTCGTTTATTACATCCTTTGTATTATTGACCAAGTCAATGAGAAGACATTTTCTCCCTTTTTGTAATGTAGTTTGTCTGTTCAGTTGCCATGCTTTCCACGTTTCCCGCGCCTATGTGTGTAAACAAACCGAGCCATGGGTACCAACCCCGCCTTGTTGCTCGAACCTGAGAGCGTAGATTTTGCTGAGGTTTAAGCTTAGCAAGACCCATTCGTTGTCAAAGGATTTTGTGATCCGCGAATGTGACAC